TTAATTATAACTTAATAATTTCCCAATTTAACACCAGAAGATAACGATGAGCGAGCGAAGAGAGTCCTGAAAACGATTAGAGTAAAAATGTAATCAAACTTCTACATTTTTCAGGACTCACTTCGTTCGGTCATCATAATTCTATTGATTAATGAAGATTTCATTCAATATAATTAATAAGAACTTGGATTAGAGATTAATAATTTCCAAATTTAACATCAGAAGATAACGATGGGCGAGCGAAGTGAGTCCTGAGAACAATTTGAGTGAAAATGATATAAAACTTCTACACTTTTCAGGACTCAATTTGTTCATGATTCTATTGATTAATGAAAATTTCTTTCAATAGAATTAATTGAAACTTAATAATTTCCCAATTTAACACCAGAATATAACGATGAGCGAGCGAAGAGAGTCCTGAAAACGATTAGAGTAAAAATGTAATCAAACTTCTACACTTTTTAGGACTCAATTCGTTCGCTCATCATGATTCTATTGATTAATGAAGATTTCTTTCAGTAAAATTAATTAGAACTTGGATTAGAGATTAATAATTACCCAATTTAACACCAGAAGATAACGATGAGCGAGCGAAGCGAGTCCTGAGAACTATTTGAGTAAAAATGATATAAAACTTCTACACCTTTCAGGACTCAATTTGTTCATGATTCTATTGATTAATGAAGATTTCTTTCAATAGAATTAATTAGTTCTTGGATTAGAAATTAATAATTTTCCAATTTAACACCAGAAGATAACGATGGGCGAGCGAAGCGAGTCCTGAGAACAATTTGAGTGAAAATGATATAAAACTCCTACACTTTTCAGAACTCAATTCGTTCGCTCATCATGATTCTATTGATTAATGAAGATTTCTTTCAGTAGGATTAATTATAACTTGGATTAGAGATTAATAATTTCCCAATTTAACACCAGAAGATAACGATAGGGGAGTAAAGCAAGTTTTGAGAACGATTAGAGTGGAAATTGGACTGAAAATGTTATAAAACTTCAATAATTTTCAGGGCTCATGTCGTTCGTACATCATGATTATATTGATTTCAAGTATTAATAGTAGCATGAAGATATCTTTCAACAAAATTGACTGGAAATTGGATCAGAGATTAATAATTTCCTAATGTAACACTAAAAGATAACGATGGGCGAGCGAAGCGAGTCCTGAGAACAATTTAAGTGAAATTGTTATAAAACTTCTACACTTTTCAGGACTCACTTCGTTCGCCCATCATAATTCTATTAATTAACGAAGATTTCTTCAATAGTACTTGGGTTAGAGATTTATAATTTCCCAATTTAATAAGTAATCAAACTTTACACTTTTCAGGACTTACTTCGTACGCCCATCATAATTACATTGATTTCAAGTATTAATAATATCATGAAGATTTCTTTCAACAAATTATATGGAAATTGGATTGGAGGTTAATATTTTCTCAATTTAACAACAGAAGAAGATGATGGGCGAGCGAAGCGAGTCCTGAGAACAATTTAAGTGAAAATGTTATAAAACTTCTACACTTTTCAGGACTCACTTTGTTTGCCAATTAGAAAGAAAATGTAACTTTTAATTTAAAAAGGAAAATTAGGATAATTGCTTATTGAAAGTGTTACTAACAGTTTTCTATAAAAATAAATGAAAATTGGCAATTATTTCGTGAAAGTATAAACTAATTTCAAATCAAGTGAATTTGCAAAAAAAAAATTGCTTCGTAATTAGTTCAATTTATAAAAGCAATGCAAAAGTCTCGATAACCGTATTGCAAATGGTGCGGATGCAGCAGCAATCATATCGCAGATGGAAAAAGTGTATGCAAAGTAATTAAAAATGTGTTACATGCAATTCAACAAAAGAAGTAACTACACGGAAGTGCAAGCAATGTAAGCGGAGAAACGGTTACGTAAATCAAAACCGATAGAATTTTGCGAATAATTATGAAAGATCACGTTCTCTTCAACGCTTCTCAGTTTTGCTCTCCGAACAATTATATTTTCTCCTCGTCGCGTTTCATAATAAAACTTGTCTTCTCTTCAATATTCACCGTCATCGATAAATTCCAATGTTTCTGTTATATAATCACAGGTTATATACGATAATAACAACATAGAGGAGAACAAAAAAAAATGTATAAAGAAAAAGGCATGAGAAATTTGCATAGCAAATTAAATGGTAATGATATTGAAATGAAGATATTTTTATCGCCATTTACGCGAAGCAGGAAGTTGATTTTATATTTGCGGTAATGGAAAGCAAAGAAAAATCTTTGCATAATTGAGTTTTCCGCGGATGGGAAAATGCGTGCATAATGTGTTCTATTCTACGACAGATCGATTTCTTCGGATCTTATGGAAATGGAAGTAATGATTGAATGAAAGAAAAAGTCTTTGCGTATGTGAATTGAATCGATCTTGATTATATGCAGAAATGTAATAATGTCAAGGCATTGGCGTCCCACAGTGTAATGAATAATGGTTAGGAAGTGGACGGAATAAGAAAGGAATGTCCGTATTAAATCACTTTTACATCGTCTAATATTTATTGCACAATCCATTAGATTTCGTTTATAGCTCTATAACATTATGTTAACAGCTTGAAGTCTAATTACAAATGTCTAATTGTATAAGGAAAATATCTTATTTGTTATAATAAAACATGTTTTTTCACATATTTTAAGTAAAATTACTGCAGTTATTTCAAATTAAATAAATTATTGTGTTATAATTAACTTCTTCACTTTTTAGGATTCATTTCGTCTTCTCATCATGATACAAATCAACAAGAAAAAACATCAAAGTTTGTTTTCATTAAGATGACATTTAAAGGATTTAAATTTTTCAATTTAACGATTGGCGAGCGAGTAAATAAGTTTTCACTTGTTTCGTAATTGTTATAAGTTTCCATAGTTACAATAAAACAAATCCTTTTTAAATTAGCATTAATGACGAGTTCTTAGAATACTATAGTATTTTTGTGTGTTTTAAAAGCCTTTTTCTCTTATTGCAGATGAATCTATTACCGGTGCTGGTAATTCTGAGCGGGATTTCCGCAATCCTCGCAGACTCCTACAGACCATGCCCCGAGTTATCCAGAGAACTAAGGTTACCATGCAAATGCGCCCTAGGTCCCATCGAGGCAGCCTTGGACGGAAATCCTGCGATCAGCGTAGACTGCGACAGGGTAGTTTTCCAAGGAGATTTTCCTGCTTTACCATACGGCGCTCCGATCGTCAGCTACAGGCAAAGACACGCTGGATACCAGAGCCTCCCCACACAAGTAAAACAACAAAAAAACCATAATGAATGCAATTCCTACAATTAATTTGTTTTTTTAGGCGTTCGCGCAATCCGGACTTCCACTGAGAAGCCTCGACTTCTCCGGAAACTCGCTACGCCGACTGACGGATCGACTGTTGAACGGTCTTCAGGATAGTTTATTAGAATTGCGACTCGCTGACAATTTGTTGGGGGACACGTTGAACCCGATCTTCTCCAGCAGCGAATTCCACGGTCTCAGACATCTCCAGCTGATGGATTTGAGCGGAAACGGTATAAAATCTATAGAAGAAGGCATACTCGAAGGTTGCGAAAGATTACAGGTAAATAATTAACATAATTTTATTATTCAATTTTCTTTTACAATTTTCTTTTTTCAGGAACTTATTTTGGATAGGAACAGTTTAAGCTCGATACCCGGAGCATCTCTAAATGGTCCAAAATCGCTGAAAATCCTCTCCGTGAAAGAAAACAGAATAAGTAATTAAACAATTACTAACATTATATTCATCTTTATTAATACTCTTCGCGTTTTCAGCTATTGTTAAATCCGGCGCTTTTCAAGCGCAAAGGAACTTGGATATCATAGATCTGAGCCACAACTTAATTGGAAACATCGAAGGTGCAGCGTTTTCTCATTTAGATAAATTGAAGAGTCTCAAGTTGGGCAGAAACAGGTTGACCAAGTTTAACAGCGACGTTTTCCAAGGAGCCGACAATCTGCAGCAATTGGATCTATCCGAAAATTTCATCACTGAATTCCCGAGCGTCGCTTTAAAGGCTTTCGCCAATCTCAGATACCTCAACTTATCTTCAAACTTAATTCAGGTAAACATAATTTGATTATCTAATTTTTGAATTGAACTTAATTATTAGGATTTTGTTGTTTCAGAGTTTGGATAATAACGATTTGACGCATTTGGTGAATCTGTACCATTTGGATTTGAGCAGAAACAACATCGCTAATATTGTGCCCGGTACTTTCTTGGGATTGAAGCAGTTAAGACGTTTGGATATTAGCGTTAACTCTTTAAGAACTGTGAGTGTAATTACAAACCTGTTTTTACTTATTAATAAGATTTTATAACTTGAACAGATCGAGGACGACGCTTTCGAAGGTTTGGATAACTTGGAGCATCTCAGTTTGAAGGATAACACGATTTTCTTGATTCCTGCTTCGGCATTGGGAAGGTTACCGAAACTTCAATCTCTTCATCTGGATTACAACAGGGTCGCCGCTTTGTCCGGAGATATATTAAGATCGATCGCTGAACGCGTTACAAATCTGGTCATTTCCAAGAACTTAATCAGAGAATTACCACCAGCGACCTTCCAGTATTTCCAGCAACTCGAGCATTTGGATCTGACGAGGAACAGTTTGATGACTCTGAACAGCGATACCTTTGAAGGGCTTGAGAATAGTTTGTTGAGTCTTAAGGTGGCTCAAAATGCGATCACCAACTTGGCCGGTCCACCATTGGCTTTGGTCAAGCTGATGTCTTTGGATCTGAGCGACAATCAGTTGGCGGATTTGGCTAGAAACTCTTTCACTTTACTTCCCAATCTGAGGAAGTTAAATTTAAGTAGAAACTCTCGATTGAGTTCGATTCCTCCAACGCTTCTGCACAAATTGGATAATCTGGAAGTTATTGATCTAAGCCACATCAATCTGAAGTCGCTATCCACGGATCTTCTTGCGAAGAATCTGTTAATCAAAGAGATTTACTTGAACGACAACGATTTGAGCGAAATCACTGACGGTACTTTTGTGAATTTAAGAAACTTGACAAGAATTGATTTATCCGATAATTCAATAGCCAATATAAGACCGGGAGCTTTCGTCAACGCGATGAATCTCAAAGAACTTTATTTGCAAGGTAATCAATTGGCCGTATTCAGAGGGGAATTCTTCAACACGGGAACCGGTCTAGAAATTCTGGACGTTTCCAACAACCTCTTAAACTACGTTTACCCATCGTCGTTCAGAATCCATCCGAGACTGAAGAAAATTGTAGCGGGAAACAACAAATTCAACTTTTTCCTTCCCGAAGTCATAGCGACGCTTCAATACTTGGAATTCGTCGATTTGTCCGGAAACATGCTGGAAGCCGTCGAGGAGCTCGAATTCGCTAGGTTACCGAAGCTTCGATGCTTGTTGCTTGGCAACAACAAAATTGAGAGCGTCCACGAGATGTCGTTCCACAACTCCACGCAACTGCAGATCATCGATCTGAAGAACAACAAATTGGATAGATTAGGTGAAAGGACTTTCGAGGGTTTGGTGCGAATCGAGATGCTTAACTTGGAAGGTAACAGATTATCGGATCTTCCGGAGACTATATTCGAGAGATCCAGGCTGCAGATGCTGGAGAACATAAATTTGGCGCGCAACAACTTCGAAGTTGCCCCACTGAAATCGCTGCAAAGACAATACTTCTTCGTCAACTCGGTGGATCTTTCACACAACAAACTGAAAGAGATCCCTGCAGATGATAGCACCATGGTTAATATTAAGAAACTCGATTTGAGCTTCAATCCGCTCTCGGAGAAAGCCATAGAGAATATCTTAGGAGAGCCGAAGACTGTGCGGACTTTGAATTTGGCTGGGGTGGGCATCGTGAACGTGGCGCGTCTCGAAACGCCGTTCTTGAGTTTTCTAAATCTGAGTCACAACAACATCTCTGATCTATCGGCTAAAGTCTTCGAACGGACGACTTTGCTGGAAACTTTGGATATATCCAATAATAACGTTAAAGATTTAACAAACTTCCCCAAGATATGGGAAGTGCTGAGGAATTTGCAAGTCCTCAATATGTCGTTCAATCCGATCGCTATGATTTCCAACAACGATTTCGAAGGATTGAAGTCGCTGAGGTACTTTAGCTTGAGGGATTTGGAGCAGTGTTCTCGCATCGAGAAGAATTCGTTTAAATCGACGCCGAATTTATCCGTTCTAGATGCTTACAATTTCCCGAAATTGGGATACTTGGACGTTCCTGGATTGTTACTGAATCTTCCCTCTTTGGAGAAGGTTAATATTGAGATTAAGGATGCAGCGATTGGTAACGATCAGCTGTTGAGCATTCTTCATCCGAGGTTGAGGGAGTTGGGGCTTCACGGCTCGAGATTGAGAAGCATCTCTTCGACTGCCTTATCCGGTTTGAAAGGATCTTCGGTTATGATTCGTTTGATGAACACCTCATTGACTTCCATCTCTCCAGCGCTTTTCTTCCCGGTTCCTCCATCGAGCAAGATCACTTTGGACGTCTCCGGCAGCCAATTGAGCACTCTCAGTCCGCAGCTGATTAACACTTTGAGCGAGAGGAAGGAAAATCTACATATTGTTGGCTTGGAAACGAATCCGATCATTTGCGATTGCTCAGCGAAAGCTTTGAGAAAATGGGCGAACAATAAGATGACTTCGATAAAGTGCTCAGCTCCGGAACATTTGATGAACAAATACCTGGTGGAAGTTGGCGACGATGAGCTTTCGTGCGATTCGAGGAGAGCGACGACGCAAACGCCGAGCACTTTCGGCGCTTCCAAAACGACGAGATTGCTGCCGAAGACGACCGAACCCGAGATTATCTGGTCGGTGGCTTCGACGGAAAAGATCAAACCGAAAACGGCGCAGAAACCGGCGATCGGACAATCGAGTATAAACAACGACGACACTCTAATCATTGGCATCGTCGGCGGCGTCGTCGCCTTCATCGCCATCCTGATCATCATTATCTGCATAATCAGGCTGCGGATGACCAACACCCAGTACAGGGGCGGTCCTCTCGCCAATGGCAACCCCGTGATGGGACCGGTGATTGGTCCAGCCAGCAGTTGCGCCACCTGCAGCGTCAAGGGAGCACCGCCCGTTTACGTGCCTTCCTACGGCGGCTACTCCTCGACCCTCCCACACAAACTCTCGGCCACGCCCAACGCGCGCCCCGCCTACTCAACGATGGGCCGAATGCCGCCCTACTCTCAACCCTACTTCATAGCCACCTATCCATCAGACGAGAAGATCTATCGGTAGTGAATGATCCATCGAAATCGCGAAAACTGTATATTACATTTTAGAAAATTAAGTACAAATCAATGGAAGAGAGAGAGAGAGAAAAGAATAATAACATTTTACGATCTTTTTTTCTTAATAATTGTATACATACTTGGGGGACAAAAAAATAATATTTATTTAATTTTCTTTTGGAAACTGGTACTATTCTTTACTATAAATATATTATTTTGTATCGACTTCGTAGCGTGTAGACTAAGATTATTATGTGTTAAAAAAAAATATGAAACGAATATAATTTAAGTAAATAAGTTTTATTTAAATGTTTATATATTTTATATGTGTGTAATAAAGTATAATTTATGTTAATTTCATTCTATATAAATATATATATAAATATGGTTAAAAAATAGTTCTATTAAACAAACAAACAAACAAATAACTTATTCAATTTACTGAGGCTGAAATTACTGGATTTTCTATTGTTTTCTTTCCAAAAAGCGCGCGGAAAATCGAGCAATAACAAAGCGAGATTATTACCGTTTTCCGTACGCTTTATGAAATATGATGAATGTAGTGTATGACAATGTTCATAAATATATTGGCAGCAATAATTAAGAAATCTGTGCTATTCTTGAAAGTCATCGATTCGTTGGTTTCCCTTACACACTAGAACAAAGTTAATTAAAACAATGAAGATCACATGAAGTAGTATGCCGAAAGTAATAAATTGCGTTGGATTCGAACACTTTCTTTTTCTCTTTTCTTTTCCGATTGCTTTTTTCCCATTAATTTTCTTCATCTTCTTTAATAATCAATATTTTTGTTATATATATATATAGAGTATTATATACTTTGCGTATATGATACGTATATGTTCATAAAAAAAATATATGTGGTAAATATTTTTGTATGCTGATAACATAAACAAAATATTTCGTAAATGTTTACGAGAATTCATTAAAAATTAAAAAGAATTTAAAAAAAAACAAATACATATAAAGAAAATTGCACCGTACACAGATGGCTTGGTCCACATAAGTAAAAAAAATAAAAGAGGAAAACAATATATTTTTAGGAGATGGAAGAAGTTTTCGGTCATTCGGAACGACTGGCAATCTTCTTCTTGATCTCCTGAAGACATCTGGCCTTGTTCTGCGTGTGACCTTGACGATCGATGCTTCCGAGCATGTGATCGTGCACGAGTCTCAAGCATTCCTCGTAGTTATCCTTTCCGGCTATGCGGAGCTGCAGGTTGTAGATCTTGTCCGAGTCTTCGGTGGCGGTCGCCTGTTTGCGTTTCTTGCCGTTGGGGACGGACGTCAATTGTTTCGGGGCTCTTTTACCGTAAAAATCGGTCTCCTCCTTGTCCTTGTCGCGTTTCGGGCAAGAGCAGATCCTCGCTCCTATCGTCTGCCGTCCCCGGATAACGCCACTACAAAACATCGTAGAATCAAGTGTAAATGTTGGTTCGGTAAAACTTACAATTCGTTTTCGAGCGTGAATATCACGTCGATGCTCTTCCTGTCCATGCCGGTGGGACAGGAGTTCTTGCAGAAGAACTCGAAGTTGTGGCGATGACAGTTGTCGCCTGCTTGCAGCTCCCCCAACGGAAACACCACGCTCAAAGTCTTTTTGGCCGATTTCGATCCCACGTACTCAGCGCCCGGCGAATGCACGCGAATGATGTGTTGGATGACATCAGGTGCAACATCTAAAATTCGAGTCAACATTTACAGTTTTATTCCTGCAATATTTCTAAACCTCTCGTACGTACCCCGATTGGAAGCTTCGCTCTCCTGAGAGTGTCCGAGACACCTATGAACTATATCCTGCGAGAACTGATCGTTGCTGTAGATCGGCGTAGCGCGCACGTAAAGTCGCTCCTGAGATCTGTTGCACTTGAAATATACTGGGAATCGTTGATGCATCAATATGAAAAGTTTGTTGAGCGGCGACGAAAACTGAAAAAGAGCAATCAAATCAACAAATTGTTCTAAGGACAATAGATTTTAATGTTTCAGTACCGCCCATTGAGCTTTGGTGCCGTGGTTCGGTGGAATCTCCAACTCGAAATCGTAATCCCCCTTGTAATACTCTTTGGAAATTATCTGCGGCGTCTCGACGACCTCCTGCTTCATCTGCAGCATCGTTTCCAGAATGTCAGACGCGAAGTTCTGCGGATCGGTGAATTACAAATTATTCCAAAAAAAAAAGAACAATTAAAAAAGAAATCAATCAAAACAATTATCAAAAATTCACTTCAAACCTCCTGAAGCAGAACGCACAAAACACAAACGCACAAGATAGTCGACGCACACTCTCGTCGGAATAATTTCGGTCACAAAGAAGCGAGCGTATTAATAGTGCCCTCAGAGCCACGTGCTACCAAAACACGACACTCTTCATCACCTGCCTCCAACCAGAATGGAACTACAACTTATTTTAGAGCTGCGCTCTCACTCTCGGCTTTTACCAAGGAGGCGGCGTTGAGACAAGTCTCAACTTGTTGTCAGTGAGTCATTTTTTGTTTTGTTTTGTTTTGTTTTCCTGTAACTCAACTAGAAACGCATCCTCGATTAGGGGAGCATTTTTACGTCTAGTTGAGAAACGCTTCCCAATTTTGCACCCACGGATTCACTCAAACCTCGTCGAACGCTTCATATCCAAAGAATACTTACAGTGTCCTCGGGCGAAGTAATATGACTGACCAAGTCAAAGGAACCATGGCTGCGAAAATTGTAAGAAACAATAAGAAAAAAAAAACATCTATAAGAAAACTCGCATCTCCTCTCGACAAGAGGAGTTTATTGCATCACTTACTTAGGTAACAGAACAGCTAAATCGGAAAATGAATCCTGCGTGGACATGGCTATAAGAAACAGAATTAAAACCGTTTTCGGATTAAAACATATTTTTCATTTCATTTCGTATGAGACAACGTTGCGTTTGTAATGCCCTGAACACATTTATAATTATCAATAATATCGCTACAAATATACTATAGTTTTATATTATATTATCATCTCTAAACCTAAGCCATTCTATCTATACTCGTTACCTTGCGCATTTTGCATTCCAGTTTAATTAATCAAGAAACTAAAAAAAGAAGAAAGTAACTAAAACAGAAACAAAGTATATTTAACTATCGCACAGAAAGAAATCCTTGATACACACAAAATATAGTTATTATATGACCATATATATATAACAATAACAAAATTGAAATACACAAATCAAGTGTTTTGTGAAGAAAAAAGGGAGGCAAAAGAAGGAATGATTACGATTGGAAATAGTCGATTATCGTTTATTGATCAAGTTAATTTACGTCATTAATAACTTTGCAGTATTTCAAAATAATTGTTGCTAAACAAATTTGAATTTTAAACTATTTACGTAGGCAACCATAGTAAAACAAATGCTCATAGAGTTGTCTGTAATAACCAATTTAGTGATTTACATCAGCGTTTCTCAAACTTTTTCACACACAAACCAACATATTTCTTTGTTAAGGGAAATATTCCTATTTAGGATTTATTGCATTATCTTATTTGTTTTATTATGTCTCAGTTTCGAACTTCAATTTTCATAATTATTACAAAAAAAAACAACATTTTGGTACTTCGCTGTATGTTGAGTTGCCTACATTGCAATGAACATAATTTGTGTTTACATTAGGTTCAAATTTACTACAAAATTCCTAAATACATTTTTGTACTATTACGTTATTATTTGATAAAATTATTAATTAAAAGATTTAAAGCAACCACAGATTGTAAATTTATAAATTTTTAGTTACGTTAATTGGAAATTCGTAAATTGAAAACTAATTATGTATAAAACTTATCTGAACTGAATAAATCATACATGTTATTATAAATCGCTGTTGTTCAAAACGCAAAAACGAAACAAAAATTAGACATTATTGGCAGAGATCTTCGATATTTATTTATGTTTTTTTTGTAATCTTATACGACATAATTTGTAGCTTTGACCTTAATCATAATTTAATTTGATTATTAGAAATTAAACTTTTAATCAAAGTCTAGAGACAATAACTCTTTGTTAAACGTTGTTAAATTAATGATCTAATTACATTATAATTTTCTATTGAAATGTATTCAAAAGACGCAAATTTTGTAAAATTAAGAGACAATAAATTATTTCCAAAATCTGGATTATTTCACGAAAATAATAAATAATTACGAAACAAACTATCTTTTAAATGAAGCATTAATAGAATTGCAATGATTTGTCTTCAATTAAGAATTATAATCAATATTCGTTTAAGCATAAAACATATAAAATAATCTTAATAACCTTGAGATCCATTCGAATATAAATAAACTGTAAATCTTTACTAGTCATTACATATTTGATGAAATCTAATTTACAAAAAGAAGACAAATAATTTTTTATAGAAAAATTGCAATTCAATCTCAGTTTGTTTACCTTTTGTTGTAAACTGAGAAAAAATCAACGTTTTTCTTCAATTACATACAAAAAGTAACAGTTCATTATTAATTACGTCACAGACAATGAGTCAATGTAAATACGATATAGTAAACATAAATTCGAAAGAGAAAGAATCAATGCAGTTTTTTACAACACCTTCTAAAGATTATAAAGAATTTAAAATCGCAAAGTGATAGAAGAACGCAATTGATGTGATTCACGCGTAAAATTTCGTTTATTTATAGACGAGCTCATGATAACGAAGATGAAATTTGTAACAACGGATATTACAATTATTATACATTATGTTCCTCGCACAAAAAAAACACGTTACAGATTTACAGGTTTCGCGGAAACTTGAGAAGAAAAGGACTTTTGTTGGGTTTTCAACTAGTCAAAAGGGAGACACAGATGTTGAAATTTTACAATTCTGCGAATTCTGCGTTTCTCCATTCAACTTCAAGCTTTCAACTCCATTCAACTTCAAGCTTTAAATACATTTTTTGAAATCCCGACTATATCAAAATCTCGACAACCATAATCCCGACTATATCAAAAATGTTTACAATAACATTTTCAAATAATTTCGGGGCCACCAATTTTTTTTAGTATATTTACTTTAAAAAAGCATTTCAAATTTTGAAGAAATCGATTGAATATTTTCACGATCAATGTAGATAATGTAGATTATTACTATCAAATTATGTAATAACAATTATTGTTTGAGCATTAATGTAAATATGGAACATCTTTAATTGATACACAACAAGAATATTTGATTATTAATGATCATAATAAAAGTCTACTTTTTATTTTCAAAAAAAAAAATGTAAATTTCTTTAATATTCATGTTCATGTTGAATTTACTCTCAAATGTACTTGCTTTCTTTTTTCTCAAAGAAAAGGGTCCATTTCAGGTATATTCTGCATGAAAAGGGACAAAAAGAAAGGAAAAAAACCTTTTAGCGTATTGAACAAAACTCAGTTTTCCACTGAACGCAAATTCCATTGTATTTCTTGCATGAAATTATTTCAACCGAAACTAGTCAATTATCAGTAAATATGTCTTAGATGTTGATCAAAATTAGTGAAAAGAGCGACGAATTTTATCGTTTACAATAAACGCATTGATAAAGTAACATTATAGACAAGTTGCGCAATCGAAAATTTTCGAAACGCAATTGAATTGAATGTAAAGTGTTATAATATGAAGATTATCATTGTTTTTGGCGCAATTGTGAATTTGTTTTCAATAACGAAAGAAAGTAAGAGAATTATTGAAAACGAATTGTAGAAACGTAATTGAAATAGAGAAGTAATCTTGTATATTATGAAGAAGTGTTAAAAGTTTGTTATTTAAATAATGAAATTTATGAGAAAAATTTGGAAATGTTCCATGTTATTGTTGAAAAAGTGTTCAAGTTTTGTCTTTAAATAACATAATTATTGAGAAAACATATCATGAAATTATGTAAAAATGATTGAAAATGAGAAGTGTAGAGGTGCATGTTTGTCTTTAATTAATAAAATTGTTGAGAAACAGACATGAAATTATGTATAACTTATTGAAAATAAGAATTGTAGTTGTAGTGTTAAAAAGTGAACAATAATAAATCATGAAATTTTTGGAAACGTAATTGAAAATAATAAGTAATCATCCATGTTATCGTTGAATAGTGTTACAAGCAAATGGCGTACGACGCTTAGCGACAAAGGATATTGGTAACAATCGGATTCAGTAAAAAGCTCCGTTTAATTTACACTTGTAACATTAACAGATTTGAAAATACTTCAGAGTAGACGAAAATTGGCGCGAGGCACACGAAAATAAAGAGCCTTGACTGAAGAATCATAACAAGAAAATAGAAAATTCTATTCGATTATCATTGAGAATTGGCACTGAAGGAAACTTAGAGAAGAAGGAAAACATTTTGATTATTATGTTGTGCAATAGTCGGTTTCAGGTTCTTGGAGGGGTTGGCGTCTCCATCTGACTTAAGTACAATCAACATTAGCTTAAGTCATGTTTATGTTGTCGTGGAGATGTCGAGGATTCGGATACGAAGGTGGCTTTACTTAGGGGAAAATCTTTCGGTTGATGAGAGAGGAGAGGAGAAGACACTTGTTGTGTATCACCTAACCTAGAAAATGTAACGCTGCGAGGACGTTCGTCTCGTTCTCAAACCCCCCTATGTTTCGTTGGTAACGGTCAAGAAGGCGACCGCACCAAGCAAGTTACCTTGGTCCTGGTTATTCATTGACAATATGCACTGAGAACACGACGCTCGCTCTTCTTTGGCACTTTTCTGGAAGAATTCACTGGCGCAAACACCGGACTCACAGGAGGGCGACCACCACTCTAGACAAACACTCGACGAATGACCAGAGATTCGAGATTCTCCGCGCAACTCCGTCTTCCCAGAAACGTGTATCAACTTGTTGCTGTGGTAGGAAAAGGTTGCTTTTGTGTGGTGGAGGGAGAGCAGAGGAAGCTATTCAAACAAGCTTTCTTCAAACCGTGAAAATCATGAAAACTGCAGGTTTTCCTTCCAAGCAGGTCGCACATCGAAACAGACGTATGGGATAGAAGGAGGAGGAAATGAGAGAGAAGATGCGAGGATTGGAAGATAGTAGATTCGAAACCGATGGTTTCATGAGTAAATGATTAAAAGAGAGTCAACGGCCAGAAATGGTGCAGAGACTGGATTGGATGATGGTGGAGAGCTTTGGGTCGCGTTTCGCTTGCCCCGCTCGCATGACTCACCAGAAGCAGGTAGTTCAGGTGTTTTCCCGGTGCCTAACAATTCTTTATACGAATCCTAAATAATATTGAGAGAACAAACGCTGCCGCAACTAAAGGAAGCGCAAAACTGTTCACATCGGGGATTTCTCACTTAATTTTTGTTGATAATGCACCGTCTCAGGTATATTTCAATTGAACAATTTGTTCTTCAATTGAAATTGATGTGAGAACAATCACAAAACTCTATTAAATAGAAAACAATCAAAGCTATAACACATTCAATCATATAATTGAATCTAATACAAATTTACTATAACTTTGTTCAATAAAAAGGTATATTTCAATTGAAGAGCAATGAAACTCTTCTCTTCAATTGAATTTGATGTAATAAACAATCAAAGCTATAACAACATCAATCATTATCATTGATTTATCATAAAAAAACTAACACAAATTTACTTTATTAAAAAAAATAAGACAAGAATATATTGGATATAAAGGATAATAATATCTGCTCAGACGTTTGAAAAATCTTTCAAAATATAGTTAATGTAGTTCTCGAAAAAGTTCCCAATTTCAATTGAACAATTAAACAAAATTATTGAAATAAAATTGAGTTCCATTTGGAAAATAAATAGGATTATTCAACATACCTCTAAAATATTCTATTCACTAATGTCTACAAGCTTAATTAATAAAGTATATTTTGAACTGTTTATTTTGCATAGAGTATTTCATTAGATAACATTCCTATACGTATTTTATGAATTAATTTTGTTTTTCCCCATAATAAAATGATTTTTTTTTCATATTTATATAAACTAAAACTATATAAACTAACACAAATTTACTTTATTAAATTTAAAATAAAGGACAAGAATATATTTTATGTAATGGACACTAATATTTGCTCAGACGTTTGAAAACCCTTTCAAAATATAGTTAATGTAGTTCTTGAAAAACTTCCACATTTCAATTGAACAATTGAAAAAAATTATTGAAATAAAATTGATTTCCAGTTGGAAAATCAATAGGATTATTCAACATACCTCTAAAATATTCTATTCACTAATGT